AGTAAACAATGGTTTATACATGGGAATACAAATTTTGTGATAGTTAATGAAGTGACTGAATATACGACTGGTAAAGTAATTCTCGAAAGTGTACAGGCAAGCTGAGTTTTCAATTAATTTCTTGTTTAGTGTTTCAGATACTACCCGAGCTTTCAAACCGAAGTAGGTAGTTTTTTAAGGGGTCATTCCCCGAACTTTTGACGACGTCTGACTCTCAGAGCCTGGGAGAAAGTTCATTAGGTGCATTTCTATGGTTGCTGGTGATCGGAACAGGTCATTTTCTAGGGTCGTACAACTCACTTGCATCACGTGCTTAGAATCACCCTCTATGTCCACCACTTCGATTATGAGCGCCAAAATTTTTCACCTGACTAATTTCCAAAGAAGACTGCTAACTGTACCTTTAATATATTTAGCGTAAAGAGCATCTTAAGCTAATAATAATGCATTGTTTCTTCAAGTGGTGGGTTCGAGGAGCCAAACACCAGATTAGTAATAATATAGTAGGTCTTACTTTTGAAATCATCCGAACATGACTGAACAGTTGCCGATGCAGATATTGTTTGACAACCTTACTTCAGCGTATATATATATGACTACATATTCCTAAATATGAGAATGTAATTTCTCTAGGATTCACAAAACCATGCTCACTAGACATTACTGCCATTGTTGATCAATTTCTAAGTTACACATTTGCAATACCTCATTTAACGTAGACGTATTTAGTGTGAAATTGATGAGAGAATGACCTCTCAACAGTATGGGTGTTTCAGAGTTTATCTTGAGATTTGCGTGTAATCTTCTAATGCTGGACAACTTATGAGGTCTATTTATGTATACGGTGTCAATATAAAGACTAGCTGTGGACTACAAATACTATTGCTTCTATGGAATTTTACTTAGTTTTATTATTCATACTAACATATAAAATTATCTTTCATGACTTCATGTTGTGCTTCACATTTTAGGTATATGGAGGTTTTGGAATGTGAAATCAGTGGAAATGTCAATCTGTCAAACTAACGCTAACACCCTTCATCAGAATTTTCTTTTGTAAACTAAGAAAATGTTTAATATACTCTTCATTTCCACTTCTTCTTAACGTCTTCAGTGCGTGGCTTTACTATGAGCTTTCGTAATATGTGAATTCTGATTAATGCATGTTAAGATTTACTATAGTATTATGAAACTTTTACTTTAACCACTCATAGGATTTCGCGTCTGTTTCTAAACAATAGCACATTGTAAAACCTAAGTAGGATTTAGCAAGTCGAATAATAGTTCTGTAATATTCGTTAGGATAAAGTCTCCTTATTTAGCCAGTTGCAAGTCTGTATACTGCTAAACGCCAAGTATATGGTACAAGTAAATTAGGGTTGATAGCTACTTCATTAATCAGTTAATATGCAGTGGCATCATCAAGTACACTGTCTACTTGGCGATTAGCTAAGAAACAATTTTCATTTATTTCTGATGTGCTGTTGAATCATGTGATGTTATCTAACATCCATCATTTCTATGATCAACAACGCCAGTGTTTGCATATCTACTTTGTTAAGTATGCCGATGATCTAACTATTTCAATGTCTGTCAACTCCCAGCTAGACTGTACTAAAATGAACAGACTTCTATCAGGAATTAGAGCAAATGGTCTTCCCCTAACGGCCTTAAACTAAGTCTTTCCAAATGTCAGACAGTTAATTTCAGTTCCACATGTAAAAGAAAGTCAAATGAAGCTGTTAATTCCCATGACCGTTGTATAATTGATGATACTGATATAGAAATCAAGTCTGAAATTAAGTATCTTGGATTAATTCTTTCTTCTGACCAATCCTGATCTTCCCATATCTTAGCGATTTCTAAAAGGACATTTCGTCTGACTGTTTTTTTATAATATATTTGTCAGCCAAATCTCATGAACTGTCAATGACCAGCTCTTACTACGCTGGACCTCACACTGTCCCTCGAAGACTTTCAGAAACACTTTGTATTAAACAACGCGAAAACCAGAACACAGATTGGCGACTCGAGAATCCTTTATTCTTACGCCAATATGTAACCAACAACAAGGTTATTACACACAAGATCTAAGAATAAATGTTATAACAATAAATCACGATAATACTTCTGACAGTTTTCTATCTTCCACTGAACAGCGAACGATGAGACGATGACTCCCGCGAAAAATATGGAGGAGTGGGGATTGAGCAAACAACCATGAATTGATCGTTCAATCTTCAACTACATTGACACTCCCCGGCATAAAAAAGATCCATCCCCTCTTTCCATCACGACCAATACACGTTGACTTGGATGTCAGTGCGAGAACCTGGGCCAGACGGACAAAGCTGAAATGGAAAACAAACAGAAAAGCCAACACACCACAGGCATACCAACAGCACAATCACACTCGTCGGCGACGACCTACGCCTTCCAGTCAAAGGCATCCTCTTGACATCTTGCAACACAATCGCCACTTGCTAGAATGACTCTTGAAGAACGCGACGTGACCATAGCACCACCTCATGATACTCTTCTCACATCCTCTTATCTATTCACTATCAATTACCATTGCGATCGCTTGTCACTCATTCTGCCTCAGTTCTAGTAACGGTGACGTATGCAAGCCTCAGTCGTCTACACTCTCGCTTCCCGGCGTGTGGGACCACAGCTAATCGTCATCTCCGTGCGCATATCATTCTCATCACTAGCCTCCCCGGCGTATACGACCCATTTGCTGTCTTTAACATCAATCAATTCATTCACAGATGTAGAAGACTCGAAACAACCTTCAAGAGTAGGCACGACGAAACTTTTAACAAAATTATGCAATAGCAACAAGATACGAAAACAACAAATAAACACAGTGAATCCCAAAACACCAATTGATATGAATCACCACACGTATATACAACAATACACATAACCTCGCCGATCATGTCTTGACGGAATTCCTTTGCAGGACTTACACCAGTACCCCTCCAACCCTTCTCAGGTTAACGATTGTGAGTTGAAGAATGTCCGGACACAAACAAGATGAACCAACAATTACATTAATTGGAACCCACTCAATTACTTAACACCAACGTATGTACAATCAATACATCAAATGTTGTGGATTCTGCCTTGACGAGCTACTCTCGAAGAACTGTAGGACTTACAGCAGTACGCCTACATTCCTTATCAGGTTGACGCCCTAGGTTGGAAAATCGTCGCAGACTTCATTTTCTGACCTCCTTCTAACATCTATATCCTCAACTCTGAACGGTAACACGCCCATGACATTGTATCGTGGAATATAGATGACTAACAAACACACGACGTATTTGACCAACCAGGCGTGGGCACAGAATAATTTACACCAAAGATAATAACATTCAAATAGTAACTTGAAATTTGACAGGCCTTTATTCGTGCAAGTCAGTTTAACAATTACACTCTCATACACAGTTGGCTTATCCTCCCTAAACTGACCATTGACTTTCGTCCTTTCAAACAGACCGATACTAGCATAGTCACAGCACAAGACACTTGAGTTCATGGACGTCACCTTCATTGTGGATGACAACACCAATGACGACTGAGTGACACAAGTTGATGAACTTAGCGGTGCATCAGAAGATGTTGTCGTTCGACCTTTAGAAAGTTGTCTAACCGTAGGATTACCAAGACTGCTATCTTTTATGACTAGCTCGAGTTTAGCACTAACATCTGTCGATAGGTGGACTACACGCGGATCATAAACACTGACGGTGTCACGAGTATCCATACCTTCTACCACCGCATCTGCCTTTAAGTCTGCTTCACGTTCAAGTTGTACAGAACCTTTGTTCAACTCAGTAGTACTAGGCATTCCTCTCATCTCATCATGATTAACCGAAGACAAAAGCGCACTATCATGATCATTATCACAAATATTCACTTTACCGTTGTCTATCTGGTCAACTTCATCATTTTCAAACTCTTTAATAACAACAGTAGACAATTTGGGTTCTTCCTCATAAATCCTTAAAGGTTTTATACCTTTACTCTAACTAGTAATACCTTGTAAAGTTGTGGAGTCAGAACTGGACTCTGAAACTGTAAGTCTCTTCTCCTGCACAAACTGCGGTGTCTTCTGTGACACTATTCAACAATAGCTTACCAGTTGCAACTACAGGCTTCTTCACCACACCATTATCGTCACACGGTTCGGAGTCAGACCTTGATTTCACATTTAGCTTACCACTAAACTTGGTCACTTCTTCACAGTTCGCCCTTGTATGCACTTCTTGAAAACGTGTAAAACACAACCGTGTTTGTCTCGCGACTTGTAACTTATCTGTTGGGATGTCCCACGAAGGCTGTTACACTCACTAAGTTTATATGGATTACTCAGCAGTGGTTAAATGGCCTTTTGATGAACATCGAATCCATACTGAAAGCGTCGAAGATTTATTACAACATGCACACTCCTGATTTCACTATGAAGCATGCATGCCAAATGCATTACTTTAGGGGCCTACACAATTCACAAATTAACTCACAACACTGAAGTGGAAAAATTTATATTTGTCCTAACTGAGCATAATATAACAAATCTTGTGAAGTAATTTTCTTATGCAGAAGAGAGGGGCAAGGTATTCATAATCTTATGGATAACGTCTCCTTGTTGCTCAAACGGGCCATGGAGTCAATTTTAATGAAATGTCAATCTATGCAAAATAGGCCAGAAAACCTACTCTTCGAAATTCGATTATTTCTATACGGAATAACTGTACACTGCTAGTCATGACAATAGTATTACAATCTTAGCGTAAACTAATTATGCACAGAATAACCTATCTTACATTTAACAGCACGTCAGCTCTATAAGGCATTAAAATAAAACATTTGTAAGACACAACATTAATACATTCAAAATAAAACAATCATGTAACGAATATATATACATATATATTTTCTTTGAAAAAATACAACAAATGAAAGGGCTTCGTACAAAAGAATTCATACAAAGATCAACTAGTGAAGTACAGAGAGTTACCACCACCACTGACTGTTTTAGGTAGGTTTGAAAATACACAAACTTCGCCAGCATTATTTTTATTGGTAGTGTCGTTTTCCGGATTGAAACGATCAGTCGCTTGACTCTCAATAGAATTTTGTTGCACACTATCTTCGTCGTCGGACAATACAATAACTATGGGCTCATCGGACAGAGATGTGCTTTGAAGTTTATCAGCTTCACAACTATGGTGGAATGTTTCCGACAGAAGTTTTGGACAATCAACAACACCTCTTTCATTACAAGAACGAGTTAGTTCGCCTGAAATTAATTCATTGTCACTAGTCACACTATGGTCACCATTATTATAGGCATCCGTTTGTATATTGTTTGATAAATGCGATGAGGTGTCAGCAATCATACCATTCCTACTTTCATTCGATAGATTTGGCGCGTTTTTCGCTTTGGAATCGCTGTTACATCCATCTATGATTATTAATGAGGCTGGCATACCAGGAAGATCTGCATACATATCTTCAAGTAGATCCTGAAGATTACGAACCGCTGAAAATGAAGAGAAACAAATTGAGTGATCCAGTTCTCTTCAATACATTAATCTCAGAAAAACGTGTTCGAGATATAACTATAACAATACTAAATAAAAAGGGAATACTTTCACAAAAAAAGTGGGTTTCACTATGTTTGTCATCATACAAATGCAATATTATGTCAGAAGAAAGCAGTGTCGTTACAAACACACTAGACCAGAGACATTAACATCAACGTAGAAACAAAAATTACACTGGAAATACTTGTGTAACGTCAGAAGACAAGGGCCAGACAACAGATCGTTTATTGAGATAATCAAGAGATATGTATAGAATTTTATGTGCATTATTGTCAATGGTGAGGCATTGTCTTCTGACTGGTTGTTTTCTTGCTGAGAGTTATTATGTACTACTTGTGGCCATTTCTCAGAAAGTTAAGCTATACATCTGCGAATCGCATTTGCACACACTAAGTCTGCTGTGCAAATACCAGAGATATGGAAGATATTATTACCACCAGTCAAATCAGAGGAGGATAATAAAGAATTTTAAAATTCTATTTCAATTCAAGCACATCACAACATTCCAACAAGTGACTTATTATGACTATAAAAACACTCGTCTTATTCCCCATCTGATTGTATTTGATATCTGGATGTACATTATGATATAATAATTTTTATTCAAATGTCTGATCAATTTCACTCATGTATATAAATGAAGTAAAAAGTTGTCTGAGTGACATGATATGATTATGAGTAGCAATAGTTTGTGCTCGAAACGTGGCCATCAGTAAATATTACTGAATAACAGTGTGTGATTTATCAAATTATCTATAATGGAGGTATACTCCACCACAGTGCCGAAGTTTTATACTTATATCAATAAGTCTGCTGTGACTGGTTGATGAGCCAGTTTTGTTCTCTGTACGCCTAGGTTTTTTTCTTTTTCTCTCTCTCAGGCGTCAGGGTATGTGAGTTTCAGTCATGATGCTATAGATGACAATATTTACTCTTAGGAAAGATTGAGAAAGTAAAACTCTTATCATCACATACATCATTTACAAGAAGCACAATAAAATATTGTATACATTACAGAGAATCTATCTATGTTAGGCAAAATTATTGAACACTACTACTCAACAAACCTGCACGTGTTGCTTCTTTTGCTTTTGAATCCTTAGGTAAAACAATACATTTATTGGTATCCGATAGAATTAATTTGTTAGATAAATTAACAGCTGCATCTTTAATACGACCTGAATCTAATGATGTCTGGTCTGTGCTTCTGGTAACAGCAACTTCAGCAACTTCATATAAAGATTGTTCGATAACTAAAGCTTGCTCAATCAATTTTAAACGATCCGTTAAAAAGGCATGAAATTCGGTATAGTCTGAGGGAATACGTACAGGCACAGTTGCTAAACGTGAATAAAAAAAAGTGGAATTTGAATTCATCCAAAAAGGTTAAGGGATGAATTCAAAGTCTGTATTAATGTTATGATAACAGCATTCAATAAACGATTGAGATTCGAGAATTATTGATAAAAAGTCACTGACAAAAGTTTTTTATGCAGCTCAGATGTACAAAACATAAATGAATTTATGCATTGACACTGTGTTATAATTTGAATACCTTAAAATCTTTTCCAACCATCTTCAATTAACACTGATATATGAGTTGTACTGTAGGTGGTAGGGTTTTCTCATTGCTCCTTCTTTAAAATAAGACAGCCAGAGACAATGAACTGCTAAATCTTAGTTAGGCCTTAAAGCCGAAAATGAGAGAAAAGTTACTGCAAGATTTAACGTTTGATCGTAGAGGCGTGATAACTAAGCTTTGTAACACCATCTTTAGCAATAACTTATTGCCATCTCATCTTCTCTAACTTTAGTCCAACCGCAATCGAAGAGTTTTCGGTTATATAACAACTTTGGCCGTGAAATTCCACTGGTTCACACAAAGTCCAACACTCTTTGTTTCGTGTAGTGGTGAAACTCCCTGCAGTCAATTAGTCATTATTATTCTTCCACCTTGCACAATAGGCTTTGTTGGTCTACACTCCATTTCAATCGTAAATTAGCGAAGTACTCTTTTTGTTGGTTGCCTCTGAGGTATACTTGACCTAGAATATTCTAAATGTTCATTTGAGATGCTAGTAGATTTTTTTTTCTGTCGATAAACACATATATGGAGACAACAATTCACTCTAAACATCTTAAGAATTTACTGTCCTTCAGATTTTCGTTGTGCTGAATGTGCTAAAGAGTATTTTAAACATAACGATTGCAAGCGACATTGCTGCTGATGCTTAAAATTTGTTCTATGTAAGTAGATTTACTGCATACTGCAATGATGAAGAATAGTCAGTTATCATTTCTCCTTCTTACAATGTTTTCCACTTAATTGCCTTTGAAAATCATAAAAGTATCGTCAGGTTATCTTATCCAAACATACTGTTTGATTAGCACAATGAAAATTGATACCAACCCGTGCATTATAGATTTACCAACCAATCTTGATATTGACGATAGCACGGATGTTTAATGATTGATTGTACCGTGGTAATTTACTTCTTCTCCGCAAATATTTTCTATGGTCACCTTTTAAAGGCGGGAAGACAGAATAAATGCCTCTTCTGTGGTCTTCCGCAGAAAACTCACTGCTAATAGTACATACTTATAAGCCGGTTGTCACTAGAAACCTTTCGCATTGCAAATAACTTATTTTCAATGGTAGCTGACTTTAATCTAACTGCTTTCAACTAGATATTTTTTGGCGTAAGAATTTTTTCCATTACAGCTTGATTCCACATCGTATTTTCGGTAGAAGTATGGAATTCTCAGCATGCAATAACGGTAGCCCAAACTTTGTAGACCGACAACTAATATCAGGTATGCGTCGGCAGGGCATCAAACCCCTGGTCGGTGAGAGTCCTAACCACTGTGCCACCGACGCATGCTTGCAAGATGATCTGTTTCAGTCAGGCAGCATACATCCTCGATTCATCACAGTATTGCAATTCATGGTTATAAGCAACAAAGTATGTTGGAAAAGTTATCTAACAAACACTTTTAACAACTAAATGCCAGAGTATACAAATAATGTATCACGAAACTACATTATCATAGTAGTATTTGAATTATTTCTTGTTCTGTAACGGTTGAAAACGTGCTTTTTTCACAAAAACGTCCTCAGTGTTAGTCAAATTAATATTCAACTGGCATATACAATCAGGAACGGAATGGAAACGAGTTAGAGAAACAACATTGTCAATTTTTAAAACAAAACAAAAAAACAACAACATCTAATTAGTTACTGAAAAACTGCTTATTCCGCGCCTTAGTAGCTTAAAATTAATATATCTGTTGGTTAAAGTGACAGTATACGTCGCTATAACGGCTTGCATAACAAACAAATGACTTCAGATAGGATTAAATATACACTTCATCTTACATAGAAATTATTCATGAGATACATTTCATTCCCAAAATAAAACTTATATCCGCAACATTATCATCCCAGAGAATGGCATTCAGGTTGTCCACATAAAAAACGCAACACATATGACCCTCCTGGCGGTAAGGAAATTTATCGATCTAATTACAACAACCTTCCAGAGTTCAAAAAACCAGAACTTTGTTCAGGTACTAGACAAAATCAAAAAATTTACTAAGTGGTAAATTCTGACAGAAAATATCACTCATCTGGTTTATATGGCGGCTATCCAACGCATCATATCATGCTACATTACCGGAACAAGGGAATAAAAAGAAGTACACATTAAACTATTACTTACTTAATTCAGAATTCATAAGTCTATTCATAGCGTCTAGTACACCAGACACTCCAAATTTTACTATAACGAAACGTGGATCGGCCAGTATATCATCCCAATTGGCATATCCATGAACAAGTATACCAGCAAGCAACCAATAATCATGACGTGAATGCCAAATTCTTTGACTCTTTAGTATCATTTCAGAGTCTCCAGCCATCTGTGATTGGGAGCAAATTGTTTCACGGATATTGTTGATTTGTGCACATTCATCATTCCACATAGAACGCAATAATGATAAGCCACCTTCATCTATGTTAAATTTAAATTCAGAATATTCATCCTATCAATAGACAAAAAGCAAAGGTGTTTATGTAAATATATATATATATATATATATATATTTGTTGATAGGAGAAAACAACAGAGGTGTTTATCATTTCATATAAGTTTTATCAGACATTTTCCCCAATGCGATCACAACTTTTTGTTTTCAACCGGTTACACACTCGCAAGCCTAAACCATATTTCACTACCGGATAGCTGACACGCAGCTAAGATATACCACAGGACAATATGTAAACAGATTATAATTCCGGCTGGAATAATAATAATAATAAAATAAGCATGAGTATTTTTATTATTATTACTATAAAATAAAAAGAAATCATAGTCCACATTGTAGAGAGCCAATTTTAATCAGTGGTAATGAGAGAAACAGGACTTACATCAGTAGCAATACTTCTTGCACCGTTAATATCTTCATATTCTAATACTTTATTTCTAATAAGAACCAGCATTGCAACACGTGATAGTACAGCAGGGACGCACAGGTGTTCCTTAGGTAAACCATCGGACCATCTAAACAAAAATTATTTTAAATTAATATATAAAAATGAAATTAAAAATAATTTTCTTCTACAAATCAAAGTTAATATTATGAGAATACCTGACCAATTTGAAAGTTTATAGGACGGTGATAGTGAAAACTGACAAGCGACGAGACAATCCTTTTAAATATCAACTATCCAAAATGTCAAATGTATCATTATCATCCTCGTCCTCAATCATTTTCCAGGAGTGTTCCCACACGTGATGACCTCTTTTCCTGTGTTGGCCGCTCTTAGTTTAGCATTCATATCATCCATTAGAAGTCTGATGTCGCTATTTGGGGACTGGTGCATTACTGTTTGCGGTTATCTGTAGAAATCTTCCTTCTCTACTTATGCCAATCACCTAATCATTGAAGGCGAAGAAGTCTGAGAAGGGTTCTCCGTTATCATGCATCTCGCCTCTAGCTCGATGATGAGTTATCTTCCTGAATTATCTGCTCCCAGTTTATCATTCTGAGAAGCCTGTTTAAAGCCTCAACAAGACCAGACAACTGAATATGTTTCGGAAATCACTTTGAAGTTTCTCGTAGACCTTGCTTTAAAAGAATATTATTAAGTCCACCCTATTTATATATATCTTGCCACACAGAAATTTAAGCGGCTAAATACATTAGGACACGTTTTAATCTTACGCCTGTTGCAAGTGATTAGGTGGTTAGTGTATCCACCACGCGTACAGCCAGTAATGCGGAAGCTAGAAGCAGAATTCATCGTATCCCTGATTATCAATGCGTTTCCATGATAAATTTACAGAAGTCTGAAGAATACATCTTTTTCTAGAAGAAAGGGATAGCAGATATCAATGCTATGTTTACTACTCTATGGTACATAACAATTTCAATGGTTGAGTATTTTCAATTAAAATACGTTAGTCAAAAAGTAAGTGAAAGAAGTCTTACAACTCAGACTTGTATAATAGGTTAAGACTTGCATCTGTTTTGCTGTGCTTTCAAATGATGACAGGTTATGTGAGTAATTCATGAAAAAGCTTCTTTTAGTCAATATACCAGGACTTAGGAAGTGTAGTAGACATATCTGATCATTTCACATACTAAAGTAGGTTTCTACAGAATGACCGTACATACATACTTTACCACCCAGTAAATAACCCGACCGAAAGCTGCTACCTTGACGTGGTGGTCGGGCTTGAATACCGCAATGACCTAATCAAGCTATACTGGCTGAGACTTATGTCTCTTGATGTCCTACCATGCCAGAAAGGTTGTTTGGATAGCGGTTAAAACAAAAAGCAGCTACCCAATCCACCATTATGATACAAACAAAATTACAAAATTTCATGCCGGATCGGCCGTGGCCCGGATTAACAACGACCACGTTTCCTGCTGCCGTGTCACAGGGCAGGAGTGATAAATATGCTACTGAGACACACCAAACAATAAAGAGGAAACAAAAACAGGCCGCGTGTGACCGGCCTCAAGCAGTTGTCCCCTGGGCTCTGCGGTCACGCAACCAACTTCCACGGTGTGGGTAGCCGGGAAGTAACAATCGCCCTCACAATCTGAAATGCACACGAAACCTCTCTAATACTCACTCATCTTTGTCTTCATCTTCATCTCTATCATCTTGCTTCCTTCCACTGATGCAACTCCTTGGCTCGATAGCTCTCCACTTCCTCTCCACTCTGCGTCCACTAAAAACGATGGAAGCCAAAAAACCACCACCAACAGCCTCCTAAAGCCACGCCACCAATTTCATATAGGAACTTTTAATGTTAGGACACTTTGCCAAATAGGACAACAAGCATCACTAGCCAAAACCCTGGCATCCCGAGCCATTGATGTATGCTGTGTTTCAGAAACACGCATACAAGACCCAAGTGTGGTTATTCACCTAACCCCACCTGGCCAACAGGTTGAATCTGCAAAATTCACCTTGAGGGTGTCAGGAGATGCCACAGCTAGTTCACGTGGATTAGCTGGTGTAGGGATAGCTTTGAGTACTAGGGCAGAAAAGACATTGCTTGACTGGATCCCGGTAGATAGCCGAATGTGTGCTGTCCGTCTGAACGGGTCAGTAAAAAGGAGGAAGGACTGCACTACTCGCCGATGCCTTTTCGTAATCTCCGCCTACGCCCCCACTGACTGCAGTTCAGATGAAACGAAGGATGAGTTCTACCAAAAGCTGTCTAGTTTGGTGCGAAAGGCTAAACGCTCAGACATAGTCGTTCTAGCCCGTGACTTTAACGCTCAAGTAGGGGGAAATTGTGTCAATCTGAGAAGGATGTCGGTGGCACCTATGGAGTTCCGTGCCAGCGAACCGACAACGGTGACCGTCTCCTACAGTTCTGTTCTGATAATCATTTGTTTCTTGTAAGCACTAACTTCAAACACAAGAAGAGACACTGTTTGACTTGGAGACCCCCTTCATCTAACCAACGCTGGACACAAATAGACCACATAGCAATAAGCTATCGTTGGCGTGGGTCGGTAGGAGATTGTCGCTCCTTCTGGAACACGTGTGTAGATACCGACCACGCACTGGTCCGCGCTCGGGTGTGCTTACGACTGAACGGACGTAGGAAACAGCTGGCGGTAAAACCATCACGTCTCCAGCTCGATCAGGAAACTAAATCCGTATTTGAGGAAGAACTAGCTAAACACATATCTGTGTTCGACAGCTGTGCTCACCCTGAAGAAGCTTGGAAGAATATCCAGGCAGCCATAGATACAGCTGTAAAAGCTGTGAATAAGTTAAACCCAAAGGTGAGCAAAAACCACTGGATCTCCACCGCCTCATCCGAACTGATAGATGCTAGAAGGCTTATACCGGCGAGCTCCGAATTCAATGAGGAGCGAAAGCTGCACAAAAGGAAACTTACGAAAAGTCTCCTCAAGGACCGTGAACAGTGAAGGGTGACAAAAGCGAAAGAGATGGAGAAAGCTTCGAGGATAGGCAACACCAGTCAACTATTTAGACTCATCAGGGAAACGGGTAGGAGAAGACAAATCATTAGTGAAACAATCTCGGAGAAAAATGGCACTATAATTAGCTCCCAGGATAGACGACTGGATCGCTGGAAAGAGCATTATGAGGAGCAGTTTAATTGGCCCACAGCCACGCTCATCCTTCCGAACATCCAACACCTCCCTGAATGGGATATAGACACAGGTCCTCCATCCCTAACTGAGGTTACTAAAGCTGTCATCAATCTGAAACTGGGCAAAGCAGCGGGACCTGATGGAATCACTCCAGAGGTATTTAAGTACGGTGGAGACAGTTTACTGTCTGCATTAACTGAGGTACTAGGCAGCGTCTGGGAATCAGAAGAAGTCCCATCGGGTTGGTGTAAGTCACTGATTATCCCCATATACAAGAAGGGAGACAAGTCTTCCTGTGATAATCACAGAGGGATTAGCTTGACTAATATAGTATCTAAAGTCTTAGGCTCAATAATCATGCGTAGACTGAGTGGTGCTCGGGAGGCACAAACACGAGAGAGCCAGGTAGGCTTTAGACCAGGAAGAGGGTGTATTGATCATATCTTCACCCTCCGACAGATTCTAGAACATAGGAATTCCTACCGGCGTCAACAGTCATTATATTTCTTGACCTAAAGGCAGCATTCGACTCTGTCGACCCAGAAGTTCTCTGGAGATGCTTGGCTGTAAAGGGAATTCCGAGAAAATACATTCCACTGATTAAGGCACTCTACTCGTACTCATACAGCCAGGTGAGGGCTTACGGCGAGCTGTCGTCTGAACTGGTGACAACTAGTGGTGTCCGTCAAGGATACCCATTATCCCCTTTTCTATTCAACTTCATCATAGATGTACTAATGGACTTAACCCTAAGTGACTTCAGCGACTCAGGGATTGACTTGCTACCAGGGAATAATCTCGTTGACTTAGAATATGCAGACGATATAGTCCTCCTAGGCGAAGACGCTGACAAAATGCAGAGTCTTCTAAACACCTTGAGCCGCAATCTACGAATGTTTGGCATGCGATTCGCTCCCGCCAAATGCAAGATGATGTTACAGGACTGGACTACACCGACTCCTAGATTAGAAATAGGTAGTGAAGTGGTAGAGCACATTAACCGCTTCACTTATTTGGGAAGTACCATCAGCCAGTGACAACGGGTTGATCTCTGACGAAATCTCAGCACGAATACAGGGCGCTCGTTTCGCATTTGCCAGTTTACGCCGACTCTGGCGTAGACGAGATGTTCGACTATCGACCAAAGGGCGGGTGTACTGCTCATCAGTCCGCTCCGTCCTCCTTTATGGTTGTGAGACCTGGCCACTGAGAGTGGAAGACATGAAAACACTAGCTGTCTTTGATCATAGGTGCCTGCGCTCTATTTCCTGTGTAAAGTGGCATAATAAGGTGAGCAAAACTGAAGTTAGGCGTCGAGTTCTAGGTAAACTGGGGAAATCAATCGACGAAGTAGTGAAGTTACAAAGACTGAGATGGTTAGGACATGTGTTGCGTATGCCAAGTCACCGCCTTCCTCGACGAGCAATTTTGGCTGATATAGGGTCAAGCTGAAAAAGAGCTAGCGGAGGTCAAACAAAAACATGGCATCATCAGTCAATGAAATCCACAACAGTTGGTCTAAGTCACGTAGGAAGGTGTAGACTTCCACCAGGCTGGGGTCCTCGAGACGGTAAAAATCTATGGTTGGAAACAATTGGTGACATGGCTCAAAGTGATCGTTCTCAGTGGCGCAGATGCATCCACTCCTTGTGACTTATGATCTCCAATGAAACTGTTTTGTTCTTCGTTATTACTCCTCCTTTGTCTCACACCTCTGCTCACTGTCTCTATTATGCTTTTCTTGCACTTTCTTCTCTTGCTTCGCGTGCTACACGGAGTGTGGCGACTTGAACTTCCGCATATTTGTGCAAAGTTCTATATCGAAAACAGACAGACAGACAGACCCAGTAAATAAACTTACACAACACTCCTACTGTTCTGTGCAATATAATTCATATATGATTAACAAATGGAATGACAGATTTTGATTCAGTAAAACAAAGATTCACACTACAGGAAGACACATAATATTTCCGATGCTCGGTAAAGTCGAGTAACTAGTTTCACTGCACTATATTAGTCTGAGGTACAAGAAAACAGTAGTTATCTGTGTGTAATTGGTAACCAGCGATAGAAAAAGTCATCCAACAATCAATAAAAATCTCAATGTTTACGTGTCTTTCGAATCATCTAAAGCATATCGGTCATCACATAGATGCTTCATGTATAAGTCCACATAACCAAAGAGATGAAGGTGAGATTTATGATGTAAAGCTGATGGAAGCCAATTTCGGGGCGGAATAATACCAGGTGGTGGAAGACCAAATCTATCGTTTTCAAAAAAAAAAAAACAACAAAAACAATCGGTAATTTGTTGGTGATGAAACTAAGCAACGCATAAACTGAAAAGTGAAGTGATAAGTTTAAAAAATGTATTGAAGAAAGGTTGTTGGGAATTATAGCCGGATCAAACGTCGCAGCCATATTAATAATCAAAATCTATTCTTTTTATGTTATGCAATTAGGAAGTTGTCGAATAAAACAAAAGTTGCCAAAGCTTTTTAACGTCCACAAATGACAATCTCTTTATGAACTAATTTTATTAAAAAAGTATCAAAGGCTTTTCATCAACTGCCACTCAGAATTGTTACTTAGAAAGTGTAACTGAAATAATTGAAGGAATTTAAGAAAAATAGCCTAGATATATTAAAGACAAGTTTGAATGAGGTTCTCGACCTCAGGATGGTCGGGGGTGGGTGCCTTGCGCTGCGGGTTGGCCACCCCTCCGCACACCTCTTGAAATGCTCCCATATGACCGGGCGTCTTACATAGCCTCTCCTGAGGAAGTCCTACTCACTGCCTTCACGTGGCGGAGGTGTTTCTCACCAAAGTGAGAGGGCGAAAGCGGATGCCCGGCGCTCTCCACCGAGTTGACTGTCCATTGGATGACGGTCTAGGGGAGGTGGCTAAACCCTGATTCCAAACCTCCAACGACTGGCGTATGAAGCTCACTGGAGCTCACCGCAGACGTATGGACAAAGGGCTTGTTGGATGTCCTGGATGTCTGGCCCCATTCAAAAAGGCGTATGAACCGAACTCCGGTCACCGGCTGCCAATGGATAGTGGACTCCTTACTCCACTCCTACTGCCTTGTAGGTCACACTTGGCTGTGTAAAGGCTAGAGCTGCACTCTCAAACAAAAGGCCGAGCGATGCTGGGAACATCACTCGTACCAAATTCCCATGAAACTTCATGAACTCACTTACAAATTGCCGCGCCTAGGCAGCGATGATTCGAGACGTTCATGAAGCCGGCTCATCCTCCCGTAGGAGATAGCCGAAGTAAAGTCAAGTAAGTAAGTTTCGAGTAATTTATTAAGTTTGTAAGAGATCAATAAAACTTGCTTAATTCACCATCAAAAAAAAACAACCAAAAGACATTTCAGTATATTGTGACTTCCATGACGAACGGAACAGATAATTGTATTTGGTGAAGTGCTAACTAAAAGTGAGAGCACAAAACCATAACGTCATTTCATGAAAGTGTTTATTAATGAACCACTCTAGACTCGAACTAATGGGTACACCATTTTCAACCAACACTAATAAAGGATATCAAATACCATCAATGATTGATCCCCTTAACACCAAGCAAAGACAATCAGACAACTTGAAGAATCTTATCACTCGAAGCTAGCTGTTCGTCAAAGAATGGAAAGTGCCAACTAAGGAGGACAATTTCGGAGGCATGAATATGTGCTCATCTCGGGAACTTGACCCATACATACATTCTGTTACGGTCTTTTAACCATTAGATTATTGTTAAGAACCATCCTGAATTGTTGCATAAACTCCTACACCCTTTTAAGTAAGCTTTCAACTTAATGCTGAGCACTTCTGGAAGGAAATGAAAAAATGTCGTAAAGGACTGGGACTCGCATTAACTGGAACAACAGTGTCACATGATATTCCGTCAAGTAATATTTTACTTGAGGACTCTATACCAAGAGTAGAGATGTTGCCATTTCATCCGTTGAGAATGCTGCAGTGTGTTAGCGTATGTTTTAGAATACGGCTATTCTTACTGTTAAGTTTACCATTTATAGTGGTAGTGTTAGTATTTTTTTAATTATTACATTGCTTTACATAGGGCTTCAAGTCAGAGCTTTGAAGTTTCGGTAGCAGTGGTGTTTACTTTAACGGGATGGGGTTGCTAGCCACATGTCCAGCCTTCCCTCTATACCAGTCTTATAACCAACTCAGTGAGGTAAAGTAGTGCATTCTCCGGGGATAGGACCCCAAACCTCAAATGTGGTTGGCGAGCATTCTACCGCTGTACCACCGACGCACGTAGTAGTTAGTAATCATTGTTATTATTACCATTACTATTTATCACTACAATACTATGTTTAACCTAAAAATTCCAATTTTAATAATGTACTTATCAGATGAGGAAATTCAACTTCATCACATAATAGAAAGCAACTGAAAGAATTGTTTCTTAGACTAATCATCATTAGTCTTTATCACGACTTTAAACACATTGTTATCCACAGTTATATCCGTGTGCTGAGCAATTTCACACGACACACACACACACACATTTTGCATCAATAATAGAAGCATGTGGGAAAAAATTTTGCAACTTACTTCATAACTGCATCATTAAACAACTGACGATCGCTGGGTCCAAAGTTGTGTATAAATAACTCCCCTTGGTGCCATTTTGCATAATTACCCAAAGCACGAACCCTCGCTCTCCACTTATTGTATGTTTCAGCTGTAGGTTGCCAACACTGTGGTTTCAACAAATCAACACCAAAATTACCACTTCTGTTGAGAGAAGGGGTTGTACGAACAGGCTAAAATAGGGATGCATTTTAAAATTATGATAACACCTATTCGAACTTGAATTTCTTGGCTATCTAAGTCAGAAAATACAACACCCAGTTTAGTTGACAGAAAATCGATTTCATACCCTTTCGACCGGCTAACTCAACACGATACAGGCAAGACAATTATAGCAGCCATCAATATCAAGTAGCCTCGATTCTTGCAGCAAACATGAAATGCGTAACTCGTCCACCATAGCTAAGAGACCACAGTAAGCAACATTCTCAGCAGGCCTTCTTAAAGCTACAGTCAAATATTGAAGCCCAAAAGGTGAGGACCAAATATGTCCCGTTTACGATACAAAAGAACAGAGAAGGGGAAACAATAAAAACTCTAAATCAGCCAGTTGATCATAAAGCACACCAGGACACTTAGTTGTTAGAGGTACTTTGATCAGGTGAGACGAGATCAGTGTGGAGATCCATGGAATGATGACAGTCACAACCCATACATTTAGAAGTGACAGGGTAGACAGAAAAGTAAGAGATATATTACAAGGTAGAATTACTTTGGTTTTCTCAGCGAAGTGGTCAAAACAGTATATTCGAGTTAACACCATATTTAGTACAAACTATAGCACAAATATCAAGCCGCCTGCCTGCATACTACAAGCTAAAATGTTTGCAGTTCTATTAGTGGTACCTACCTAAAGAAGAAACTAAATAAAGTTAAACAGTACTTGCCGTGGATAAAGAAAAAAGAGGTTGGACAAATGCCATTTGGACCGTTTACAATCACAGGGTTCATGACGAGGTAACTCAGAGAGACGGAGAGTTTTTGTTTAAAAAATAGAAGGGTAATATGGAGAAATCTATACTCCAACAGATCTCGAAAGGGTTGAGATATGATCAATACGCACTCGTCTAGGTTCCAAGGCTGGGTGCTTGGTTTCCTCGAGTTCGTTTTTTCAGAGCTCCACTTAGTTTAAACTTCCATCCTTAGAGATCACTTCATTCTCCATAGGTTTCTTAGAGCTCGTCCCCCTAATGATCCTAAATAGCTGACAGGTATTACATATTGCTGATGTCTTCATTTTTTTCGTATCACTATCTCTCCTTCTTCTCACTTATTCTGCAAATATATACATGGAAAGATAGACCACACGAAACATTCGACTAAACTGAACAACTTTCGGATGACTGACAGATTATGCTGAGACTTTCAGTACCTGAAATCGAACTAAAGTTTCTAATAATACAAGTGAAAACACCTCACATCTTTAAGCTGTGGGATTAAAACTAAGGAAGTTAACACATCTTTTTCCTTGATGAGAGTCAACAAAGAGAAAACAACAAGTTCAGCATGATAATATATCAATTTTACTCTGTCAGCTCTGGCCAACTGCACACAACTTAAAACAGTTTCAATGTACAAAATAATCGCCACATATTCTAATTGTTTGGTTTGAACATGCCAACTAAACACAAGAAGAATTAAAAGAACGGAACTACAGTTCTCGGTATGCTTGTTAGTCCATAGACCTCATTAGGGGTCAAATATTTACGTCGAGAGTAAGAGTGAAAGCAAATAATAAATTAAGCAGTGTGAAATGACACTGTCAAAACCAACCAAATTTAAAGAAATAAAAATGAAGTTCTCTCCCAATGGTATGGAAATATTAACAACAGTGTCACCCACCCACACACCCACTACATCCAAAGCACACAGGTGGTTCAAATGAACTGTAGTCAAGATTTGACAGAATAGTTCTATAATATTTGGGCGCCGAGTGAGAAGGTGGTTTTTAGTCGCTTAATAACCACGTCTTCGGAGATACTCAGTAAACTGAAGCTAACCTGTAACTCAATTATCTAAAAGGATTTTAAAATATCCATTTCGCGGGGTACTATCTATTACATGACGAGCGACTGCACTCCTAAAGACATTTGCACATTCCAGTCACAAGATCCTTGAAATATACCCAGACATGCAGTTATTATTCGTTGTCTTGTTGATTCGATATATATCCCAGAGCATACGTATGTTAATTGGCGTATATACCATTGAAATTAAATGCGCTTATGACTTTTCAACATTAGACTGCCTCAGTGAATAACTATTCAGTAGAACGTGACTAACCTGATAGCAAGACAAGTCCTTCGGCATGCATCATTGATTCATTTAATTCGTCCAAATACCTCATTACCTTTGAGTTAAAAATTCAGGAGAGAGGGTTTCAAGTCATTCAGCTCACACAACCTAACCAAATGAGCTGTTAACATCCTATGTTATTTCCGACACTTACTGTCCTATGCATACTTCGAAAAATGGTGAGTTCATCAATAAGCCTTTCTTCTATAAAAAGCTTTTCTGTGAATGAAAACAATGTCCCTCATATGATCTATTTCGTAACTTATCAGACGATACTACGAAAATGAGCAACTAAGAGTTGTACATGGAATCTTAGCAGTTAAATGACACTAACTAAATGCCCTTTAAATTCGACCAGAAGTACCATTAGACTGACCATCTGGGTATCGCAAGAGCTATTTATTGTCAAGAAAAGCACTGAGGTGCTTACGAGGATGCGCAATAATCCAAATGATTCCCCATTCATCATTGCATCAGCTAAAGGAACACGGTTACTGAATACAGTCGCTAACATATTGAATTTCAGTAACGTTATCAGTGACGTTACGACGATACATGTGACTTTGTCGTTCATGTAGGCATACACTAACACACAATAAAATGTCAGTGATGACAAGATAAACATTGCGAATCTTATAAGAAAGAGTTGGTGCTAAAACCATATAAGATATAGTATCAGCCTGAAAATTCAGCGAGGGGGGAATAATCGTACTCTCAATCAACTGTTCGCTACGCAGGGCAAGCAATCAAGAAACTGATCTGTTATGACTGGTTCGGCATACTGAATAAAAAAAAAATCGTTTGACGCAACTGATATATGGCCTCCATAAACGACCTGGTACAGCCGAGGGTAGACAGACTTCGGTCTTCCCCCAAAAATAATAATGTCATATGCTCTATCAAAACCCTTTGTCCAAGTGGACTTCCAAACTTTTTGTGAGAAAAGGATAGCCTTCTACTTCATTTTCAACGACATTCATCCTAGAATCTTGAGATATCAATAAGCCCAACTAAAACTACCGTAAATTAGCCTTATTCGTGTCTATCAGTAAAGTATTTAAGAAATCAGAATACCACTGCAACTTATAATTACAACATTGTTAAGACCAACTCACCCCATTACTTTTCGATGCTTCGTCTACATCAACATGCCATCTAGGACCATATTCATAAAGCGCACAGTTATCACCTAACAGCTTATCGCATGCATATTTCAAAGCAGTAAATCGCTGGTCCACAGGCTTCCACGGTCTGAGATTACTATGCTGTTGCTCAGAATCATAAGAATAAGTTTCACTTGGTCTGGCTTCATTTGACAGCAAATTTTTACCATGATAAGTAGAAGGCTGTATCCCACTTTCTTTATGGGGTAATACACTATTGCTTCCTCCTGAAGTTTCATTATCATTATTATCGGGCACCTTAATTTCGTTATTCTTTGTTTGACTAACACAGTTATTGACCTCCGTCACAGGACTTGATCTCTCGAGAAAAACATTGTGTGATTCATCAACTTCGCCGAACATAAGTTCCATGATATGCACCCTAGAGAAAAAAATATTCCACTGCAATCAAACAGTTAAGACACCTGAAGAGAAGATGATTGTTTGACAGTACATACGCATCAACAAAAAGAAACCATCGTTTCACAATCAAATACAGATATTTTCGGCTGAAATAAAAAGGATACACATTTTATTACAGTGACTACATTAAAACCCTCCGGATGTTCGGCATAAAACTTACTATTTTACTTTTCAAAAATTAGAACCAAATCAGTGAAATACTTCTATAATACCTGGGAGTTGAATTTATTTAGAGCTGAAACTATTTATGAACACATTCTAGCGAAAACTGCACCCACATCGTGTATGAATTAAGTTTATACTCCGAATAATACCGTCGGAAAGGAGCTCAAAAAATTAAGCAATGCAATATTTTTAAATCAATTAATTAAGGTTATAAAACAACCGAAATGTACTAGTTACTGTCGTTATACAAAACAACCAAACATAAGAAATAACACCACAGTACTAGGAACTGCGAAGTGCATTTATTTAAGATTACTCAATAATACACCCAGTGTTTCTAGTGGTTCATCTCAAAAGCAAACAATTATAATTCAGCTGAGTTCGCCAAAACACTACCGGAATGAATGACTTACGACCAGTCATCGATATTAGTGATTTCAGCACACTGAGCATGTTTTCAATTCTATGAACTATACACTTCGTTAGTTACTATATAAACCTACAAGCTAACAGTGTTAGAATTTTTCTGTTCCTTCTCACACACCTCCCCTATTCTATTTTCAAAACATGTAAACTGATGGTGATTAAACAAAAAATTATAATGCTTATATTTTGGATGCATTGATTTTGTTTCCTTTACTACCATTCAAATCCTGAAGTACGGTATTGTCATTATTCATAACCACTGTAATTCCAGCTGACTGACTGGATTCAACATAGAAATTTGCACCGGTGTGCAGCAGTTCGAGTCGCCACAATTCACTCAGCACACAAAGCCAGAGAAGAAAGTAAGCAGGAATGCAAAGTAGAGACAGTAGACAGAGATATGAGGCAAAAAGAATAGTAATAACAGAGAAAAATATAGTTCTATTGGGTATATAAGTCACAAGTAGTGAATGCATCTGTGCCAGTCATTGACAACGATTTTGAGCCTCTGGAGGGATTCCATCAGGTCCTGCAGCTTTGCCTCGCTTCAGACTAGTAATCTGAGTTAGGGACCGAGGACCTGTGTTTACATCCCCATTCAGGATGGTCTGGGATGCTGGTTAAGTTGAGCGTGGCTGTTGATCAGTTGAATCGCTCATCTAAGTGTTCTTTTCAACACTCCAGTCGTCTATCCTGAAGTGCAAACGAAAATCCTTCAACGTATCAGCTTCATGCATGCAACTATCTATGAAGTCATTATTGATGATTACGAACACAATTTGAAGTTATTGGTCAAATCATTAGCTAGACTGCATATTTCTAAACGCAAACTAAGTATTTCGACCACATAGTTAGGGATTTCAATCCAGTTTCCTCAAAAACTACGTTTTAGTCGTGCCAACTTCCATTCAAGGTGCAAAATAACGCGAAACCTACCCGTTCGCTGCTGGTTGCAGTCCACTCTTAAAAGCTTGGAAGGACTGATGACTTACATGCGCACTCAGGACAAGATTGCTCTACACGTCTACACACTTCCCCAGCTGAAAATTGATATGTTGACTTTTAACACACAGAACATTGTATACTAACTAACCCACGTCGGTCAACCTGGTACCAGACAATCACTATCCCCAAAATGACTTATGAAAGCACTTTTTAACTTCCTCACCTGTTACTATATTTATGAAACCTGCATTTAATTGTACAAAATACAATATTCGCATACTACATTAGCCTTATTTATACCACAGCTGTGGAGATATTAATATGTAAGGAGAGCAGTCTTTACACTTGTAACTAAGGGAATATCGAAATTAGTTATCACCGTTAAAGGTGCCAGTGTATGAGCAAATCGTTCGCTAACAGGGATATATTAAAAGATGGGTATTTTTTCGTTAGCGGCGTGGGTAGGATGGGAATAACTGGAAAGTGAGAATTTTTCGTGACATTTGTAAACGGGAAGGAAGCTTGCGATGTGGACAATGAGTAAATTAGGTTGCATTTTATTCACTTCTTCAGTGGTCAAAATTCCACGTCCAGCCAGCGTTGTCCATGTGCATTCTCCGAGTAGGCAGGTGTTGACATACGCGTCTATATCGTGCATGATGACATGAATCTTAAAAGTATCAACACGGACATTGATGAGTAACAACGGGAGGCACGTTATGCCACCTACAACTTTCTGGTGTTCCTACTAAGTCCAGAGTAGATGGATCATGACAGGGTTCATGCACAAGTGCACATTCAAGCACTGTTGAAACAAGTATGCATGTATACCTGCAAGATCATTAATGTTGACCCAACTCGAATAATATGTGGCGCATAGAAGTCACCTAATACTATACAGGTATTCCCATTTAAAAACCAAAAATCAAACCGACTATTCACACTACCGTCCGACAACCTTGATATCCGAAAGCAGTGGGTACGTAGTCAAACAAACAGGAAGGTATTCATTAACCAATGGATACAGAAAGCCTCGAAATCATATAGAAAGTATAGCCCCAGCATGGTTTCTCGCTCTATTCTTCTGAATTTATCAGCAGCATACTCTATCTGAGTGGCTATAGCATGCCATGTTGTAGAGGCTTACATCAGACCCCCTCTCCGTAGGACGAAATTCGCTAAGGATGGCCGTTTAACTTGCTCATTTTTGAATGGGTATGTTTAGGGTTACCCATCGAGTGCCTTCGAAGCGATGAAATCAGTTGATGGACAGTTACTCTGAACCTCTTCAACATGCCAGTTATGTGTAGCGCATCGACATGGGACAGTTTAAGTTTATTCATCTAGTAACTTACGAATAATGCCATTCGTCAACTTAGTTCACTAACCATTTCTATTGAAATTGCCTCACCAGACTGTCATCGGTTGCCTTCTAGTCTGACTGCTACCCACTAGTAAACATCTGGAGTCAACATTTTCTACCATGAGTACGTTCATCTATATCAGTTAGAAGAACTTTCTCGATCGTTGGTATAAGCCCATAACTTTCTGGCAATCTCTCATATGCATCTGCTATTACAGTTCATACGCATGGTGAACAGATATACATGAGAAAACGGTATGAATGATGAATTCCTCTAGCCATCAGAATCGGTGATTCACACCATGAACGTCTCGACCTTATGACAATCTTATGTTTCACCGATCTCTGATACTCTATGCTGGTGCCATGGTAATGCTCACTACTAAAGCTGACCACCTGCTATACTTCGTTCGACTTTCTGTGTGTTCCATCTCGGAATAGCGGTAATGATAACGATCTGCTTTATTAAAAAACAGCACTTTCAGTAAAACATAGAATTTTCAGCATTTATCGCAACGTTGCATCCAGTTTACTTAAAGTATAGATGAAATTAACCAAAGGAACTTATCCGCATGCACAGTAGGAATTATGCCAAAGGTGTGCAAAGTACAATTATTGCTGATGCCCACATGCTAGCTTGAAAGTTTAACTCGCCACAAGGAGACGACAACTAGGTGGGAAGAAGTCAAAACTTAGTTAAGTTGAGTTAGAAACTAATTGAGGAACTGCCGCGAACAGGCAATTCAACAACGCGTTCGTGAGGTGAGCTTCTACCTAGTTGTCAGTAGTGAACAAGTGTTTATTTATCTGCCTTTGAGAACAAATACAACACGAAGAGGATGGAGCTAGTTAAAGAAGTAAACAGTCAGCTTCGTGAAGTTTGAACTGGCTTAAAACTTTTGATTTGTGGGAGAGGTATGAAGCCATTAGCTTTGTGATCGTGCAGCTTCTGAAGTAATTCTGGGGACAATCTTAATCAAGGGGCTATCGGATATGTGTTGCCCAAGATGTTGGCTAAGAAATTAGGAGAAGGAAACAAGCTAGCATCCGAAGTCGTCGAAGACAGCTATGGAATGAGCCAGAATATTGAGGCACAACTACATGTGTGTTTGTGTTGATTACGAGATTTGAATCTAGTTAGCTCTATTATTAATGATCTGCCGTCTGTTATACCATTCCCACTGGCACTGTAAACTTAATACTGTAATGTTTTTCGTCACCAATAGGGGAGATGAATTTCTTCTGAAATTTCCATTTACATGAGGCAGTAATTTATCTGTTTCTAAAACATAAAATAAAGCATACAATTACACCAAGATAAGCACAAATCCATTGTCACTCAATAAAAGACAAAAACATACCGAACAGTATCGAAGGAACGGACGAAATGAACAGTTAATTAATTACATATACACACAACAGAGTGACAGGAAATAAAGAACACTCAAGGTCACATCAGGTGGTTAGAGTCACATTAAGTTAGCCAATTATCGCGACAAGAGGGTCACATAGGATCGATTAGCTGTCTGTCAAACTGTCTATCTGTCTGTCGCGATTATCACTCCCCGCGAACGATCACCACGTTGACTTGTCGTATCTGGAACCTTCAAATTGTCTGCTTCTTCCAACAAACATACGCTTCTTATATCCCGTTCGACTTCTTGAGTTGCAGTGTTCAAACGCACCATCCTGACGCGGCCATCTTGGTCATAGTACACCTGCTTAACTATAGCCTTTTGCCAGAGACCTCTCTGTGTGTTAGTACTGTAAACTAGGACGAGATCACCATGTTGTAGTTTACGCTTTATATCCAATCATTTAGATCTTCCTTGCAGCATAGGAAGATATTCACGTGGCCATCTGTGCCAGAATAAATCAGTCAAATTTTGTGGTAGTAGTTGACTGTATTGTTGGAAGAAAGCATTCGCTTTACCCTTGTTATGTCGTGATTTTCTCAGGAATTCACCAATTGCTGAACGAGTCTCAGTTAAAAGCCTTCTATGACCAAAGAAAGTACATGAATCAGGTGCATCGTCCTCACCGACCACTTCATCTGTACGTACCGTAGAATCGTCAGCTTCAATCAAAACTCGAAGAGTTGCATAACAAGCACAATAATGTGCTTGACACCATGATCCAATGTCATCGGCATTTTCCACTGGAGAATAAAATTCCATGGAAGTTACAACTGAAGGAAGCATTGACAACCAATTAATATAAACTACATCTCGGACATCGCCTTGAGCAAAGTCAGTATTCAAACCGAACTGATCCAGAGCAAGAGGAAAATCAGATAAATCAATTCCAACTCACTCAGCTC